ACGTTAAAGATCTCTACGATGAAAATTACAAAACCTTAAAGAAAGAAATAGAAGAGGATACCAAAAAATGGAAAAATCTTCCATGCTCATGGATTGGAAGAATCAACATCATCAAAATGTCCATTCTCCCAAAAGCAATTTATAGATTCAATGCAATCCCAATCAAGATACCAAAGACCTTCTTCTCAGATCTAGAAAAAATGATGCTGAAATTCATATGGAGGCACAAGAGACCTCGAATAGCTAAAGCAATCTTGTACAACAAAAACAAAGCTGGAGGCATCACAATACCAGATTTCAGGACATACTACAGGGCAGTTGTAATCAAAACAGCATGGTACTGGTACAGAAACAGATGGATAGACCAATGGAACAGAATTGAAACACCAGAAATCAATCCAAACATCTACAGCCAACTTATATTTGATCAAGGATCTAAAACTAATTCCTGGAGCAAGGACAGTCTATTCAATAAATGGTGCTGGGAAAACTGGATTTCCACGTGCAGAAGCATGAAGCAAGACCCCTACCTTACACCTTACACAAAAATTCACTCAACGTGGATTAAAGACCTAAATCTACGTCCTGACACCATTAAGTTATTAGAGAACATTGGAGAAACCCTTCAAGATATTGGCACAGGCAAAGAATTTCTGGAAAAGACCCGGGAGGCACAGACAGTCAAAGCCAAAATCAACTATTGGGATTGCATCAAATTGAGAAGTTTCTGTACTGCAAAAGAAACAGTCAGGAGAGTGAAGAGACAACCGACAGAATGGGAAAAAATATTTGCACACTATGCAACAGATAAAGGGTTAATAACCAGAATCTAAAAAGAGATCAAGAAACTCCACAAAAACAAAACCAACAACCCACTTAAGAGATGGGCCAAGGACTTCAATAGACATTTTTCAAAAGAGGAAATCCAAATGGCCAACAGGCACATGAAAAAATGTTCAAGGTCACTAGCAATCAGGGAAATGCAAATCAAAAGCACAATGAGGTTTCACCTCACCCCGGTTAGAATGGCTCACATACAGAAATCTACCAACAACAGATGCTGGCGAGGATGTGGGGAAAAAGGGACACTAACCCACTGTTGGTGGGAATGCAAACTGGTCAAGCCACTATGGAAATCAGTCTGGAGATTCCTCAGAAACCTGAATATAACCCTACCGTTCGACCCAGCCATCCCACTCCTTGGAATTTACCCAAAGGAGTTTAAATTGATAAAGAAAAAAGCGGTCTGCACCCTAATGTTTATTGCAGCACAATTCACAATAGCCAAGACCTGGAACCAACCTAAATGCCCATCAACGGTAGACTGGATAAAGAAATTATGGGATATGTATTCTTTAGAGTACTATACCGCAGTAAGAAACAACGAAATCCAGTCATTTGCAACAAAATGGAGGAATCTGGAACACATCATGCTGAGTGAAGTAAGCCAGTCCCAAAGGGACAAATACCATATGTTCTCCCTGATCGGTGACAACTGACTGAACACCAAAAAGGAAACCTCCTGAAGTGAAATGGACACTATGAGAAATGGTGACTTGATCAGCATAGCCCTGACTGCTAATGGACAACTTAATACATTATCCCTCATAGTATTTTTTTTTTTGTCTGTTCTACTTAATATGACTGGGTTTAATTCTGTAATTATCACACAGTTATTCTTAAGTGTTGAAAATTAACTGAAATGTGATCCCTGTTAAACATAAGAGTGGGAATAAGAGAGGGAAGAGATGTATAATTTGGGGCATGCTCGGGCTGACTTGCCCCAATTGGTAGAGTTGGAAACATACCAGGGGATTCCAATTCAATCCCATCAAGGTGGCATGTGCCAATGCCATCTCACTACTCCAAGTGATCAATTTCAGTTCACAATTGATCATAATGAAAGGACTAAGAGTCAAAGGGAGCACATAAACAAGTCTAGTATCTGCTAACACCAACCGATAGAATAAATAAAGGGGAGAGTGATCCAACATGGGAAGTGAGATACTCAGCAGACTCATAGAATGGCGGATGTCCTAAATAGCACTCTGGCCTCAGAATCAGCCCTAAAGGCACTCGGATCTGGCTGAAAAGCCCATGAGAGTATTTCAGGCATGGAAAGCCAAGACACTCTGGCAAAAAGATCTCTGTGAGTGAGATCCCAGTGGAAAGAACAGGTCTTCAAAGAGGGAGGTGCCTTTCTCTGAAGGGAGGAGAGAACCTCCACTTTGACTATGACCTTGTCTAAACAAGATAAGAGTCGGAGAACTCAAGGGGCTTCCATAGCCTTGGAAACTCATAACTGGTGCATAGGGAGATTACTGATGCCATAAACAGGAGTGTCAATTGGTAAAGTCAACAACAGGAGTCACTGTGCACTTACTCCTCATGTAGGATCTCTGTCCTTAACGTGCTGTACACTGAGGCTTAATGCTATAACGAGTACTCAAACAGTATATTTCACTTTGTGTTTCTATGGGGGTGCAAACGACTGAAATCTTTACTTAATGTACACTAAACTGATCTTCTGTAAAAAGAAAAAAAAAAGAAAGAAATTATCAATTCCCAACTTGACTCTCACTGGGATTAAACATGACAATAGGTCTGATCTGATTTCATCATCATTTAAAAAAAATCATCTATTATTTTTCACTTTATGTTTCTGTGTGGGAGCAAACTGTTGAAATACTTACTTAAGGTATACTAAGCTGATCTTCTGTATATTAAGATAATCGAAAATGAATCTTGATGTGAATGGAAGGGGAGAGGGAGTGGGAAAGGGGAGGGTTGTGGGTGGGAGGGACGGTATGGGGGGGGAAGCCATTGTAACACATGAGTCGTACTTTGGAAAGTTATATTCATTAAATAAAAGATTAAAAAAAAAAAAAAAAAAAGAAAATTGAGGGGCTGGCGCTGTGGCACAGTGGGTTAAAGCCGTGGCCTGCAGTACCGGCATCCCATATGGGCGCTGGCTGTTTGACTTCCAATCTAGCTCTCTGCTATGGCCTGGGAAAGCAGTAGAAGATGGCCCAAGTCTTTGGGCCCCTGCACCCACATGGGAGACCCGAAAGAAGCTCCTGGCTCCTGGCTTTGGATCAACTCAGCTCTGGTCATTGCGGTCATCTGGGGAGTGAACCAGAAGATGGAAGACCTTGCTCTCTCTCTTTCTCTCTTGCTCTCTCTCTTTCTCTCTCTCTCTGGCTCTACCTTGCTCTGTAACTGTGTCTTTCAAATAAATAAAATAAATCTTTAAAAAAGAAAAAGAAAATTGAAGCCAATGTCAAGAACTTACCTAGCCTAGAAATATTTAGGTGCACTTGTACAGATTTTTCCTTCTGTTCATTTTAAAGAAGCTTACACCAAATTTTATTTATTTTTTTGTTTTGTTAAAGGTTCAGTTTTATTTATTTGAAATGCAGAGTTCCAAGGAGAGAAAAGGAGGGAGAGAGAGAAAGAGATCTTCCATTCACTGGTTCACTCCCCAAATGGCTGCAATGGCCGGGGTGGGAACAGGACAAAACCCAGAGCCAGGAGCTCCATCTGGGTCTCCCACATGGGTAGCAGGGGTCTAACCACTTGGGCCATCCTCTGCTGCTTTCTCAGGTGCATTAGAAGGCAGCTGGACTGGAAGCAGAGCCGCTGGGAGTTGAATAGGCGCTTATATGGGACGCTGACATCCCAAGTTGCAGCTTAACTTGCTGCTCCACCACGATGGCCCTTTAGATGAAATTTTTGAAACAACTTAATCCTAGAAACCTTAATTGGCTCAGAGGTCACTGATGGGAAAGTTCTTCATTATGGAAGCATATAGGCCAAGCCTCTACAGCTGCTGGGAGGTTGGTGGACATTAAATATACAAAGCATACACCCTCAGCTGCCACCAGCTGATCTGAGCTTTAAGCGACATGACCCGAGTCTCTTTAAAACTCTGAAAATCATTGCTCTCTCCTTAGTAGTTTCATAAAGAGCCCCTTCAGGCTGATGCTCCACAGGTGAGCTTTGGGTTAGCCTTCAGATGAGATCATTAAAAGGCATGGCCAGTCGGCTGCCAAGAGTTACTCTGGAAGGCAATAGTAGTAATAAAAAAAATGTTAATTGTGCCAGGGTCCCCTTGGGGTAGTTCAAAGGGGACAAAAGAAAAACAGGATCTTTCAAACCTGTCATTTAAAAATATGCAGCAGCACTGAGGTGTGAGCCTGAATATCTTAAAGAAACATCAAATATTTTAAAGTGACTTTTCTGCAAGTGGCAAGCTAGAACACTTTTATTTTTTAAAATTTCCACAAACCCCACAAACTCATATGCTGTTGAGTTTTTGACAAATGGCGGCTGTTGTCATTTTGAAGGATAATGACACGTTTTCCCAAATGAAGGGAGCCTATGAGATTGCACTATTTTTGTTGTAGCCTATATTCTTAATAGTTTCCTTGTTTCATTTGGGAAGAATTGGTTTGGGGTTGGGGTGAAGGTGAAGAAAAGGAATTGAGTCATGAAGGAAAGAGACATGACAATTACTGGCCACCAACCAGAAGGAGCCAGCAATTGGCTCGTGTTCCTTGGTTAATCCCAAGGAGAACCCCTTGAAGTGGGTTCTCTACTTCACAGATGAGAAAACTGAGATGGATCACGGCCTCACATCCAGAGAGTGGCGGGATTGAGGTTCACACCAGGCTCCTCGTCGCTTCTTTATTGCCCTTTCCTTTCATTTCCAGGAATGATTTCCTTTCAGGCTCCTCAAGAGTGGAGACCCTTCCTGCTGGTACGGCTGCAGACCTAGTGGGTTCGTCCAACAGGCGGAGATGTCGTTGGATGCTGTGTGTGGTTACTGCCTGTGGAAACACAGCCACGGGAGCTTGTTTCTATGATTCTATTCATTTACATGTTGGACTCCACTTGCTCGCCTCTAAGCACTCTTTTGACAAGCCAATTTCTGCTACTCCAGTTGCCAAAGAGTTCATTTTCCAGCTTATAACTGATGCTCACCTTATTATTATTTACAGTCGTTTTCCAATTTCACGGGCTCTGTGGATGACCGCGGCACCTGCCAGTGCTCCGTGTCCCTGCCAGACAAGGTCTTTCCCGTGGAAAGAGTGGAACGCTTGGAATTCACAGCTCACATCCTTTCCGAGAAGTTCGAGAAAGAGCTTTCTAAAGTAAGCATTTTCTTTTCCACTAGTATGTTGGTAAGAATAAACAAACAACAAAACAAAACTTTTTATAATTCAGCATTTTATAGGCAGCTGTTCCTCACCATATCACGTATCACAGACAGTGCATTTGTGTCCTATGAAGTTATAGCTGTCAATTTACCACCCACCTGTGGAGTTGTTCAGAGCCCAGAAAACGAGAGCAGATGGGGTCAAGGTTGCCTTCGCAGAGGACCAGCTCACTGCAGTGTGGCACTCAGGTCCTGAGTTCTCCCTACGAGCCCTGCCCTGCCATTTGTATTTCCTTTGGGTCTTCTGCTGGCTCTTTCCTCAAGCTTTGATTTTGTTTTTCTTTCCTCTCCTCCATCCTCTTTAGTTCTGTTCTGTTTTCTTTCCTTTCCACCTCTTCCTCTCTTTCTATTTCATCCCTCATTCCTTTGGTTCCTTATTCTCACCACAAACCTTTCGAATTCCATTTCCTTTTTGGACTTTTTTTTTTCTTATTTTTAGATGGTTCCTTCTGTTTCTTTTCCTTTTCTCCCTCCTGCTCCTGCACTTGCCCAAATCATCTCTCTTTCATCTTCATCCTCCTCCTCTTTCATCTTCGTCCTCCTCTCTCTTCTGTTCTCTTCTTTTGTTAATAATTTGTTCTCCCCTTCTCTTTCTCTTTCTCTCTTGGTAGTTACATTTTACTGTCTCCACAAAACCATTTTATTAGACCTGTTTAGCCTTAGACCAAAATTGAAGGCTTCTCTGGGAATTTGAATCCAGACTAATAAGTCTGTCAGCCCACCCTGACTCCAGCCCTCTGCCTCCTGCTTTCTCTCCACCTGGAGGAAGTTATCTTTTTTTTTTCTTTTTCTTTTTTTAATTTTTGACAGGCAGAGTGGACAGTGAGAGAGAGAGACAGAGAGAAAGGTCTTCCTTTGCCGTTGGTTCACCCTCCAATGGCCGCCGTGGCTGGTGCGCTGTGGCCGGCGCATCGCGCTGATCCGAAGCCAGGAGCCAGGTACTTCTCCTGGTTTCCCATGGGGTGCAGGGCCCAAGCACTTGGGCCATCTTCCACTGCACTCCCTGGCCACAGCAGAGAGCTGGCCTGGAAGGGGGCAACCGGGACAGAATCTGGCGCCCCGACCGGGACTAGAACCCGGTGTGCCAGCTCAGCAAGGCAGAGGATTAGCCTAGTGAGCCGTGGCGCCGGCCGAGGAAGTTATCTTAAAAGTTTACCTTTCTGTGAGCTAACTGGAAAGCAATGGAATTTAGCATTCTGGTTTTGACCCCTTCTACCTTTTTAGTCAAGTTAAAAAATCAATTAGAAATGCTCCCATTTTCTGTACAGGTGAAGCCCACGTTACGTTATAATCACGTTATATATTATTTAATGCAACTCCATTAATTGACAAGGAGCTCTGACTTTATTGCGAGATTCAAAATAAGTTCTCCTGAGAAATTTAAGCTTAGCCACCTCAATATCCAACATAGTTATCCTTGCAGACAAAAATTATGGTGAGGCTGAGACCTTGCTTTCAACCTGAATTGGTAGATAAACATTCCAAGTTTAAATGAGTGTCCAGGAAAATGTGTTTGACTACTCCAGTAACCTAGCTTCTTAAGAAATAAAATGTCCTTGAATTAATCAGCAGAAAAGGCACAGCATTAAATTATAAATTCCAACCATTAATATTCATAGCCTTATTCCAGCATAATCAAGTACAGATAAGAAGTTATGCATAAAAACATAACAAGTAGAGGAAAATCCTAGGTAAAGATCTTTTCAGTTAGAGTCATTTGCTTTGAAATAGTGGAAGCTACTGATTTGCATGTTGTCTTTGCTGCCAGGAGTGTGAAGGGCAGTTTGAAACCCCATGTTGCTCCAGGGAGAGCATGTAGCCTGCCAAGTTTATGAATATGGGGCGTTTAACTCCTGTCCTGTAAGGTGGCAGTGGAGGATGAGGGTAGAGAGGTGCAGGTGGCATCTGCTTTGCTAATGACTGGCAAAGAAGTGCAGAATAGGTGGGAAAATTTTTAGTTCTGAAAGTATCAGTAACTGGTCCTGAAATAATTAGTGATTGAGGCCTAAGGAAGGAGTTTACCTGCCAGCTGGCATTTATGGCGTTGCTTTGGTGTGGCAGGTGCTAATATGAACCATAACAGCAGCTTTTGTGTGCGTTTTTCCAAATGCTTCCAGTTCTGTTCTCTCAAGCAATGTGTTTAGGGCAGGTGGACCAGGTTTGCCCTCCCATTTTGGGACAGAAAAACTGAGATTCATGAAGGGGAAAAGGACTTGCCCATGGCCACCCTCCTCTGGGCTGGCTAAGCCAGCTCAGGAATTCAGGTCTTTGCAATCATTGCAGCTCTCTTTCATCCTGGTCATGCTGATACTGTGCTCAGTGCAGTTCCGAGAAGAGATACAGTAGGTCAGCAGTGCCTTCAAGTCCAAAGTTACCTCTTTAGCTGAGGGCTTTTGCATTTCAGGCAAAATTATTATAGCTGTCCCTAGGCTGCCATGGAAATCACCATTTATCCAGGGACCTGGGGAAATGCCCGCTTTGGGCGGGTCAGTGGGAAAGGGTTTTGACTGCCTTGCCTTGATTCATGATCTGTCAGTACACAGAGAAGACAGGAAGCTGCCTCTGCATAAGGAGCTGAAAGCATTTTATGCTTTTCTGTTTATGACATGTCTTTTTGTGACTAAGGACAGGGTGGAACACGAGGCAGCTCAGGATTTTCCCTTTGTCTGCAGGCTTATGGTCTTTGGGGCAAGTTATTTAATATGACACATTGGCTAATAGATCTTCATGCATGAGAAGGTTGAGGGAGCCTGGGAGACATTTCGGCAACTCATAAACAAACAACATTGATTGAGCAATGTTTTGTGCAGTGAAATATAATAAATTAAAAGGTCAGATTGGAAAACACTGAAATCACTCGTTCTCTATTAATTTCTGTAATTTATAGGTCATCCATTAGCTAGGCACTTAATGCACATTAACTCTAGTCTTCAAAATAATCTTGCAAGCTTGATACCATTATCTCCACTTTTAGGAGGAAACGAAGGTTTAGCGAAATTAAATGATTTACCCATTAAGGACTAAAGTCAGATTTAAGCTCAGGAGGGTCCAGTGCCAAAGTGCTTCATGTCTTGATGTTCCCTTCAGGCCCAATGAACCTTACTGCAATCACTTTTTAAAAATACGTATTGAAAAAAAGCAGCATGTTACAAAGTACATTTCCTTATTTCAAGTAATCTGGCCATGGTTAAAATCATAGATCTTGAGGCTCTGGCAGAAACACAAACCAAAGTCATTTGTATTACACCCGGCTGTTCTACACCTTCATTTTTAAAATTTTTATTTAAGGTATACAAATTTCATGTATTTCATATATACAGATTCAGAAACACTGTAGTGCTTCCCACCCTTCTCACTCCCACCTTTCTTCCTCCCTCCCATCCTATTCCCATTCTTATTTTTTTTTTACAAAGATCTACGTTCAGTTAGCTTTATACCCATGAGATTAACCCTACACAAAGTAAAGAGTTCAATAAATAGTATGAAGAAAAAAAGCCACTGTTCCTCAACTGTCAAGACAAGGGCTGTTAAAAAGCATCGCAACTCAAAGTGTCAATTTTACTCCTATAGATTACCTTTTATGTACTCTATTAGTTACTGCAGATCAGAGAGAACATATGGTATTTGTCTTTTTGGGACTGGCTTATTTCGAATGCTATGCACCAGTGAAAATATAAAATGAAATCCTTTTATTTGCAAGAATATAGATGCAACGGGAAGCCATTATACACCTTTATTCATTAGCAGGGACAATAGCAGCTGGTCGAAAACAAACTCTAATTCTTCATCAATGACATAAGGAACTAAGTGAACAACAAACAAAACAATAGCAAGCTAAGTGTATAACCAACGAAATAAAGCAGAAGTTCTGAACGTTAGGCCGGTGGTCTGAGGAGAATCACAGATGAGTCTTCTAGTGCTCAAACTTGTAGTAATGAGGTCGCTAGAGGCGAAAATGTTCTTGCAGCACTGTGTCCTCTCAGGGCTGGGCCCATCTGCTAGAATGCTGAGCAGCATCCCTGACCACTGGATGCCAATAGCACCCCCTTGATGTCCCAGTTGTGATAACCAAGAATGTCTCCAGACACCACTGAATGTTCCCTAGGGCCTAAACCACCTCCCCTCCCTGTCTCTGAGAACAATGGCTGCAAACCTAAATATTTTCTGGAAGTGGAAGAAATGCACTAAGTGCCCCTGGGCAAGCTGGGCTGCTCTCCTGAGACTGTGGCTCCCGGGAAGACCTGGCAGGTTCTCACAATTGTCCGTGTCGCCTTCTCGGGCCAGATGCCCACATGTGAGAGGTTTGTACAAATAATCTGCTTAAACTAATAAACTGCACACTCTTCTGGCCCATCTTCAAATTCTCTCCTCCTTCTACAAGTCTGTGGACGATTCCAGTTTTCCTGAACACCACTGAGCTTTTCTTTAAATGTCAGCTGAAAGGCCTCCAAGTGCCTTCCCCTCGTACATCTTCAGATTGTCTTCGTCCCAGGGCTGAGCTGGTGCAGGCACCCGGCACTGGGCAGCGACCTCCAGGCTTTGCCTTGGCTTCCTGTGCGGCACGAGCAGAGATGACAGTTGCATCACTCATTTTTGTAGAGCAACAGCTGCGATGTGCCACCACAGTGTTCCAGGAAAGCTGAGGGTGTTTCATGTGTTCCAAGAGCTGGCAAGGCCAAATGCCAACAAGCATATTCATTCCTCAGGCTTCCATTTCTGCAACGGATTACACTTTGAAAAAAAAAAAAAAGCAACACAGGCAAGGTTCTATGTGCAATTTCTGTAAAAATTTAAACTGGATACTTGATATCTGTATGTATACTTTTTAGGGGGATTTGTCAGGTTTCACACACAAACACACGAGGGCCCATCAGAAAATTCAAGCTAAAGTAGAATTAAAAGACAAGTCTATGTTGGCATAAAAGTGTTTGAAGTCTGTGCATGGTTTCTCAGAAAAAAAACATATTCATGCATTTTTGATGTAACAAACACATATGTAAAAGAGTTTGCTAAGCAGCTTATATATATGTGTGTGTATATGTAAAAGTATCTGTTAAGCAGATTATATGTATGTGTATATAATTTTCTTAACTTCCCTATCCACCAAAATGTCACCAGCCATATCTGCCCTGAGTGATGGTGCATTTGATGGCAGTGAGCATCAGTTGCCCGAGGAGATACACCAGCAGTGCCAAGGGCTGCATTTTCAACTTTCATTAAAATCCTCTTTGCCTGAAGCCCTAGCCCTTTAGGTCTGTGGCCTATGAGTCTACTCTAATTTGCACAGTGGGGTTAAGTGGAAGGGCTAAAATGACAGAAGTTAGGGCTGCCTTTGGTATTAGAAGGATTAGAGGCCAGCATCTGGCTCTGATTTCATCCAGGCACTGTGGATCAGCTACTTGACATTGCTGCAGTTTGGGGAAAAGTATCACGTAGGTTCATATTTTTAAAAGGAACATAAACCCAGTACCTTTTAACGAGCAAGTCCTTAAAAAAAGCCGTGGCATTTCTTGCAGAGATCAGATACAGAAAGTACCACCAACTGCTTATTCAAATATCTGTTTGGAGATTCCAATTATACACCAAACCACCAAGGGAATTTTTGGAAGTATTTTAACTTAATGATCAGACATTCAAATATATGCAACAAATGTGTAATTTAAAGGTCTGATTGCAATAATCAGTTCTTGGAATAAATGTGAGCATACTTAATGAAATGTGCACTTTTACAGTTACACATACACTCACATATTGTGTAGTAAGTTGGTTTTCTATGCCACTTTTTAAAAGGCAGAGGGGCTCAAAACTCATTGCATATGCTCATCAGAGAAGGAATGCAATGAGACAGCACGGTGGTGGTGGTGGTGACTTTGTCTCCGGAGAACATCCAGTACTATCTGGAGACATTTTTTGTTTGTCACAACTTTGAGTAGGGGACAGATACTGGCATCTAGAGCTGCTGAAAATACTACAAACACATACAACACAAAACACAGCCCCCTGGATCCTTCCCTCTCCCCCACAAGAAAGAAGCATCCATTTTCCCTTATGTCACTAGGGCTGAGTCTGAGAAATCTTGATTCAGAACAAGTGTGTTGAGAGGTGGGGGAGCATCAAGGGTCTCTGATTCATACCGGTTTAGTTTTGGAAACTAATGTCTTCAAATATTAGAGATTAAAATATACTTTCAAATGATGGTTCTGAAGCAAAATTATTAGTTGAGGTAAGTACAAAGTCCACTCCACCGCCTCATTGTAGCAATATGCTCTTTTTAGTCTGTATTTAGAGAGATTTAAGGAATATAGCTAAACATACTTTGATCTATTTCTTTATACAAAAAAAGTGATTGATAGGAATCAAATAGTCTTCAAAGGACTGGCCATGGAGGAAGACTGTACAATGCTACTCTGAATTGATTGGAGCCTTTTGATTCACCTTCAGGTGAAGGAATATGTCCAATTAATCAGTGTATATGAAAAGAAACTCTTCAACCTAACTGTCCGGATTGAGATCATGGAAAAGGATACTATTTCTTACACTGAACTTGACTTTGAGCTGATCAAGATGGAAATAAAGGAGATGGAGAAACTGATCATACAGCTGAAGGAGAGTTTTGTGGGAAGCACACACATTGTTGACCAGCTGGAAGTGGAGGTAAGGAGTGAGCTAACTTCTCAGTAAATCATAAATTCTTTCCAGTGACTATGAGCAAGTGCTAAGGCTGGGATATGAGTCAGTCAGTCTCTCTCTCTCCTGCTCTCTCTCTCTCTTTCTCCCCCTTTCCCCCCTCCCACCCCTCCAAATTCTAATTCTGCACTCTCTTATGATCACACGGCACAGTCCATGTTCTGTTTTGGATGGATGCCTGTCTTTGAGTAGTAGATTAAGCACATTGAGAACATGATGAGCAAACATCATCTGATGGTGAAAATCCTGGCCCAGAACCAAATGGCCTTTTGATTTCTGTTTAAAAAGAAGGTATAAGTCTGAATGACTTCCTATGGCCAAGCTAATGCATCTGTCTGCTTTGGATTTATCCTCAAGGGGCTAGAAACCCACAGTTTACCTGATTGTGGACTGGTGGGATCTCTCTCTCCTTTTGAATGATGAGATAACCCTCAAATCCTCTTGGAAAACTTCTGCACGTACTGGAGGCCTCCTTTCAGAAATTTCTTGTGAGTGTGTTTTAGTGAAGCCTTTTTAATTCTGTGGATAAAGACTATCATGTTAATGTTATGGTTGGGTAATTTGTATCAAGGAGAATTTACTAGCACAGTCATGACATGGGCTATAATTGAGAATTCTAGTTACGTATTTTAGAATTTGAGTTTTCTCTGGCCCTCACTATTCATTAGAAACTTAATTATAATACAACATGAGTAAACACGAGTTTATAGGGGAAGGTTATTAGAAATGAACTTTAATGGACATTTGTGAATGCCTGGAATGAGTCTCTGCTCTGTTATTAAAGCTGCTAAAATCTTTGCCATTTTCTTCTTGTCACATGTATCTGCCTGAGATCTGACAGGCCTTCACGTTCAACCCTAAAATGTATTCTTCCAAATGAAACCATTCAGAAGAATCTCGGGTGTATTCTCCAGCAATGTTTCACTAAGTGACAAATTCAGCCCTGGAATGTTTATGAAAGAAATTGCCCAATAATATAAAGTCACTCTGAATTTTATTTCCTTAGATAAGGAATATGACTCTCCTGGTGGAGAAGCTCGAGACGCTAGATGCAAACAATGTCCTTGCCATTCGCCGAGAAATCTTGGCTCTGAAGAAGAAGCTGAAGGAATGTGAGGCCTCGAGAGATGAAAACCTTCATGCCACTGTCCCTCCCCCTGCTCCAGGTAAGCAGGCCACCTTTTTATCTCTTGAGCTGGATCCCCAAAGGAGCTGTGAGTGGGGTAGGGGAAAGGATGCAGAATTGCAATGTTGATGGGAAGATGGGATTTTTTGCTGTTCTGAGTTTAATCTTTCATGTTTTAAATTCCACCAAGGACTTCTACATACCAGCATCTTCTGGGGTTCACAGAGGCAGAGCACAAACAATGAGTCGATTGAAAGCAAAACCCACAGGTTACACATCCTCCCTTTACCTTTACTCTCAGAGACAGCATCTCTGTGATGACAGAGGAGCTGTGGGGGGGTCCAAGGAAAGCCTCTGGAATCCCAGAATCCACTTCCCCGTGGATCATGAGGGCTGATTGGCTTATGAGTACGATGAACTGGGTTTTGGCCATGAATCCTTTCAGCCTCTCTCTCTCCGTCCTCCTCCTTGATTTTTCCTGTATTCATGCCTTAGATACTTGCCAGGCACCTGCTATATCGTGTGTCCTGGAATTCAGTGAGGATGGAAGGGCTGGCCCTGCCTGCTGGGGACACTTGCAGATGTGTGTTGCTACCCCTCCTGGACTGTGAATTCCTGGGGGCAGGGTTGACATCTCACTCTCTTAGGGTTAAATTCAGCCCAGAGCTGGGTGCTGTAAATACATCCATGAGTGGAAACAGCAGAGTGATGGTTTCAAGAGCAAAACTTTGGAATCCCATGGACCTGGGCTTCCCAGGAATGTGGTCATGGCAAAAAAAGGTCCTCACTCCCCTCATTAGTAAGGTGGAGATGAATAGCACCCGCCTTTCCGGGTTGCTGTGGGCACTGGAGGCAAGGCTTGGGAAGCTCGGGCTCTGCAGCAGGCACTTACACGCAGGCAGCGGATATTAGTAGTGATGCGGGTCACTGAGGTGGGAACCTCATTGTGAACAAAAGCAGGACGAAGTCCCTGTGCAGTGAAGTGCATTGATGTTCCCCCGGGGCAGCTCAAGACAGCTGCTCAGCCCGTCCATTAGTGACAGCCATGCCTCAGGAAACTTCTCTCTGCAGGACATGAACCTTTCAGCCTGAATGCCGTCTGTATCTTCATGTGCAGCCATTGTTACTTTCCTTGATTGTAATCCTCACAAGCTAGTTTCTTTTATACCATGAGTTTTGGGGCTCCTGTCAATGTGGATGGCTTCTTCAAAGCTTTAATCAGAGGTGGCCATGGTCAGAAGCCTCTTGGTCTTATCCAAGGGACTCTTTTCCCTCTGTGGTTGGGAATCTGCCTTCCTATGACATACATGGGAGACTTAGGGCAGAGGCCATGTCTGTCTTCGGTAACAAACTCAGTCGGAGTGGGGTCTGGGATCAGTGGTGTAAACATGCATTGGAAATGACAGCTGCTTCTGCAGGACCACAGAAGGCTCAGTGGGGCAGGGGTCAATGTGATGACAACGCCTGAACATAACTGAGCCAAATGTCCCCCTGCCGCCCTGCCAGCAAATCATCCTCACGGAGTAGACCTTATAAGTGGCTCCATTTTCGATGCTTCCCTTAGAATGAGGACATTTTAGAGCAGGAAGGAGCATGCAAGGCATCTATTTTGGCCCCGCCTTGTCTCAGAGAGGGGTCTTGGGTGGCAAGGATGTTGCTTTTCCTGAGTCCACACAGGTGGTTAGGGACAGAGCTGCAGCTGATGTATAAGAATCCTCACTCACTGGTCATCGCAGGACATGCAGTGTCAGGTGTCAGTAGTGCAAGCGTGGTGGTGAGGGAGAAAACGCATCACTTAGTATCCTGGGAGGGAAACGAGTGAATCCGTTGGATTGTTTTTGTTAGAAAGTTTTCCAAGAACTTTCCCCTCGGTCTTCACACTTCGGCTTCTGTGAATGAACACTCCCAGCTCAGCTGTGTTGTTTTAGCAAACAGGACCCAGATTTCCACTCACTTTCCCACAACCTTGGCTGTACCTGGATCCCTGCCAAGCCACTTGGCCCTTCTCCAGCTTTGTTCATATTATATTTATGATGTTTATATTAAACTGACTTTTTGTCGTGTTTTTAAATCAATTTCTTTCACTTGCTCTCTTTCTGTTTGGATTGGTTGATAATGCAGAATTGGAAAATCCCCAGGCACTGCCGAGTTGTGAGCCTGTGGAGACTTTAATTAAAGTTCCTCACTATTATGGGACTTGAAAATCTGGCCTGTCTGCTTTTTTTCACTGCAGAGTTGCACAGAACAAAAATGACTGCATGCAGGTCTCAGCTGTAAAGTAACTCTGCACTTTCTGGGCCTCTCCCTTGTGGCTACAGTTTGCCAACCCTGTGGTCAGCTTGAACTTAGAACCAGTACTTGGGATTCAATAAAATGCACTTGATATTTGATTCTTGCTGCAAATCACATCCTTTTCTGCTTCATTTCGTAGAACTTTCTAATCTAAAATAATTGGCCTTCTACTCATTAACTTTTCTCCCTGAAACAATTGATTTCAGTCTCTCTCTTTTTCCTCTGAATCTAAATGACCACATAAAGGCAAGATGTGATGGGAATTCTGAGGTTTCTCACATTTTGCTTGGGATGCTGAGTTATGTGCTCGTACATAGTAGGTGCTCAGTGAAGGGCTGGCAGTTGAATAGTGCATGAAAGACATGGATTGGTCTGCTAAAACCCCAAGCTTAGAAAAGAGCATGGTTGAGTAGCATATATCAAATAATTCAGTCAATTTAGTCTTAATCATTTGTGATCATGATGATTTTAATTGCCTAATTCTTTTTTTATTTTTTTATTTTTTATTTTTTGACAGGCAGAGTGGACAGTGAGAGAGAGAGAGACAGAGAGAAAGGTCTTCCTTTGCCGTTGGTTCACCCTCCAATGGCCGCCGCGGCCGGCGCGCTGCGGCCGGCGCACCGCACTGATCCGATGGCAGGAGCCAGGAGCCAGGTGCTTTTCCTGGTCTCCCATGGGGTGCAGGGCCCAAGCACCTGGGCCATCCTCCACTGCACTCCCTGGCCACAGCAGAGGGCTGGCCTGGAAGAGGGGCAACCGGGACAGAATCCGGCGCCCCAACCGGGACTAGAACCCGGTGTGCCGGCGCCGCTAGGCGGAGGATTAGCCTAGTGAGCCGCGGCGCCGGCCTTAATTGCCTAATTCTATAAAAAATTAAAAACTTGTATTTGAAAGGCATACATATGTGTGTATATACATATATATGTTTGATATGTGTTTGTGTACACACACACATACATATATGTACAGAAAGAGAGAGAGAGAGAGGCAGATATAGAACAAGCTCTTATCTGCTAGTTCACTTCACTCCTTCAACAGCTGGGGCAGAAGCCAGGAACTAGGAACACAACTGAGGTCTCCCACTTGGGTGGCAGGGACCGAATTCCTTGAACCATTATCACTGCCTCCCAAGGTCTGCATTTTGGGAAGCTGGGGCCAGGAGCCAGAGCCAGAGCACTCTCATGTGGAATGTGGGTGGCTTAACTGCTAGCCTAAAGACCTGCCCTTGCTTGCCTAATTCTTACAAACCAATCATATCTGCCTCTTGTCTCAAAGTGCAGTTGCCCAGGTAAGAGTGTACATCAGTAGATCCAAGATTAAGTTTCAGCTTAAAAAAAACACACTGTTAATCATAGCTTTGAAAAGCTTTTTAGAATTTTTAAAACAACACACTGTTAATCATAGCTTTGAAAAGCTTTTTAGAATTTTTAAAATCTCACAATTCTGGCTTCTTTAGAATGCCATGGTAGTAACTGATGAATTAGATGAGGAAGGCTTCAGTTGCATAGTGGGTTCCTTCCACTATGTTCTGTGGAGTCAGTACCAGGCTTCTGGAAAACTCAGATGTGTTGCAGGTTGGAGGGCTAGTGTTTTACACATACAGGTAAGATGGGTTTAGGTCTTTTGTTCAGTCTTTAGTTCCTGTTTTGCACAAATGTAATTTAGTCCTGCTGTGTAGCTGGCTGTGTTCTAGGTTTAGGGTTACCAGGATGGGTATAGAAATCCCTTGAAGCCATGGTCCAGGAAGGGAGACAGTCATCCAGATCTCCGGTTGTAACTCGATGTGATTCAGATGGTGATAGTTACCTGCTATCGAGTTAAATTTGATGCCTTCTTTTCTCCTTCCTAATGGTCCTGCAGGGGAGGGATTTTTCACTCAATGTGGGGAAACTGAGGCTCATAAAGTTAAGTAACTTGCTCAAAGATATACAACTACTACGTGTTGGAGGAATCAGGATTTGAATTGGAACCTGCCTGGTAGTATTTTCACTGTACCGTGGAGACTCACATAGGGAGGAGCTAAAAGGGTACTTTTGCCCTGATGGTTCTGAGCTGTGTTCTCTTCCACCAGAAAATGTAACGTGATTCATTGGTTCTTTCCCATACTTGAGTCATGACTGGGCAATGCCTAAGCACCAGGGTTAAGTTGGGAGGGGAACTAGGTAGGAATGGAATGGAGTGTAACTAAGAGCTTGAAGTAAAGGAAGGGTCTGGGGAGCAGTGTGAGAAGAGGAAGTGTGGGAAGAAGCTCAGAGTCGATGGGGTGAGGGCAATGGGGACCCACTATTATTTCCATGGAGGTTTGCGGCCAGGAGTTGAGGAAGCTGCCAGTTTTTCATTGCTCTGTCACTGGTGCGGCCACATCTATAGTATCGGCTATCATACTTGGTTCTTGTACCTATTTCCACTTCTATTTAACCATAACCAAGACCCTAAAAGTGGCCCAGAGGGGATGGAGAAAAGGGGGGATTAATAAAATGGACAGGAGGGTATTTAGGAATAGTTGAGGGGCTAAGTAAAGAAATTTATCTCATTTTTTTGTTTAATTTAGTTATTTGAGAAGCAGATATGTGTGCATGTGCACCTGTATATGTGTGTGGACACATATACATATGGAGAGAGGAAGAGAGGGGGAGAGAGAGAGACAGACAGACAGAAACAGACACACAGAGAGAATTCCCATTCACTAGCATACTCCCCAAAGGGCTGCGATGACCAGGCTTGGGCCAGGAGCTCAATCCAGATCTTGCACAGGGGTGACAGAGATTTCAATCACTTGAGTGATAATTGCTGCCTCCTCAGGTCTGCATTAGCAGAAAGCCAAAATCAGGAATCAGAGCTGGGAATCAAACCCAGGAACTCAGAAGCAAAACGGGGGGCCTCCTAATCAGGGTCTAAGCTGCTAGGCTAACTGCCTGCTCCTGTTTTCTTTTTATTATTATTTTAATTTCTACATATTCATGGGATACATTGTGATAATTAAACACAGGTATTTAACATGTGAAGATCAAATATGGTTAGTTAGCCTTTCCATCTCTTCATTTAAAAAATTTTTTGACCAACTATAATTGTACAGATTATTAGATACAGTCTGACATTTTAATACATGTATACAATGTATAGTGACCAAAAGAGGGTGATTAACATCTCCCTCTCTTTGCCATTGCTTTATAATTGGAGACTTCAAACTCTCTTGTTTGCTCAGAAAATATATAATAGGCTATTGTGAACACCTTACCATGCTGGGAACTTTGGAAAAATTGATAGTGCATATAACTTAGTCAGGCATTATCATGGCATTAAAGAAAGTAATCTACTATATCCCCAGATGAGGAAATATTTAGGCATGAAGGAACAAAAATAAACTTCTCAAGATTACCACTACTACTACTACTAATTATACTAATAATATTTTTATTAGTATAACATTATTACTACTGCTGCTAATACTAGTGGCTCATCATTTTATAAGTTGATCATAAAATTAAAATTGTACCTGATTTAAATATTAAGACTAAACAATAAATATTAAATAAAAAAAGATGAACCATTTTTATTAGTAGTAGTAGTAGTTGCATAAGTAGCATTCGCTCCCCAAATGGCCACAAAGACCAGGGCTGGGCCAGGCTGAAACCAGGAGCCTAGAATTCCATCCAGGTCTCCCACATGGATGGGAGGGCCCTAAGCACTTGGGCCATCTGCTGCTGCTTTCCCAGGTGCATTAGCAGGGAGCTCGATCAGAAGTGGGACAGCCAAGACTTGATCCAGTGCTCATCACAGGCAGCAGCCTAACCCACTGAGCTCCACAATGCCAGCCCCAGTATTAATATTCTTAATAAAGGTACTCTTAGGACAATAGTAATAGTAATTTTTGAAAAGTTGATTTCGGTTCCTTTGTATCTTTAGATTTCTGCATCTGGGGACAAAATAGTTTATTATCTTAAACCCTATGATAATACTTAAATAAGCTATATGCACCACAGATTTTCCCCAAATATTTTGTCTCTGTTGGTTTGGGACATTTCCTTTCTGGGAAGGCAAGATTCAATGAAGCAAATAATTCCTAAGTCTTCCAATCTGAAAGGAAAAAAAAAAAAGGTGACTTTCTTTCATTTCCTCAGAGTGAAATGTAGTTGAATAAATAAGTTCTCAGGAAGATATTTCAACTAGAAAATCCAGTTTGTAGCATATGGAAACTGGAACAGTTTTTGTTATCATTAAACTGAGCACACTGCTAACTTTATTTTAATAATTCATGCATTGTTTCATAAACAAAAGCAAACAAGCATTCATCTGAGAGATCACTTTTAGGAGAAGAAATAATAATTTATAATTCTATTTATTATTTCTTTAGTGGAGAGCAGTCTCTTGGCTGAACACACGTTGCTTTTTTATTTATGAAATGGCGCATGCATTATTAAAATAAACCCGCGACTGTGTTGTGCTTAATGATATGCAAAATTATTTGAGGTTGGGTACAGAGTGGTTTCATTTCTCTACCTGTTGTATGGTTGGCTGGCTTTCCTACCAACTGTGGATTTATGAGAGCATTTAAGGAGCACGTATTAATTCCAGGACCAAAAAAGCCTCTGCAGATTGGAAAAATAAAAGCAAGATTTCTAGTAATGATTTCACCTCTGAACAGTTCTTGAATGGGGAGGAAAGAGGGGAGAAACATTTAGCAAGGCAGGGACTGAGACTTTCCATATTGGACAGAAGCAGAGACTCAGAGACAGAAGCTCTACTCACTCCTTTGTCTCCCAGAGTGCCAGTCTCAGGCAATTCCACAGATCTCTGCTTTTGGCTCCAGGTCACTTCATATGTCCTCAGGGGCTCCCTGATTCCCTCCAAGCATTTCAGGCTCTGCTCCTTCCTTCCTTCACCTGCTCCACTCTGGACAGCAGTACAGGAGAAAATGAACTCAAATGTACTTAAAGTTGAATTTTCTTCTTGGCCAATAAACTCCCTCATCAGTCTTTTTCAAGGGTATTTATGAAGATTCCAGAAAATGTATATTCAACTCTAGGATAGTTATTGTAAAAATCCCAAGGGAATTCTATTTATGTTTTTTATAGCTCATAAAACCTTCAAATTGGCAAGCATTTCTGTGACAGTGCAAGGGCCAGTTGCCCAGCCTGAGTAATTTCCCCAAGAGTTACAGGGAAGATAGAGTCAATGGATCAGTGCATCTGGTCGCACTTGATTGTACACATTGAGACAATGACTGTGTCCAAATGGGAAGGATGAAATACTTGCCTGTCATTCCCTGGCACAGTAGCATATGCTTCATGAACAGCAAGTCTTACCTTGCAACTCTGCAGCAGGAGGCTCACCAACTGACTTATGGGATGTGCTATGCATTAGGTACACACAGACAACATTGCCCTCAAATAACTTCATGGCTTCTCAAGCCTGAATTCCCAGCATCTTAGAACCCTCTTTATAGATCCATAAAATACTTTATTTTAAACATCCATTCCTGAGATTAGCTTGGAGTGGGATTGGTGTCTGTGTGGGTAGGCACTTGGGGTCCCAGGGAAAGGCAGAGCGAATCAGAACATGAAGACTGCCCAGGATAATCTCCAACTTTGTCACGATCCTCCCTGGGGCTGACCCTGGGGAACAGCACCTTCTGGCTTAATGGAAGTAAGGTAGAATTCTGGGATACTCTTTCTGTCTTGATTTCTCTGTAAGTAAAGTGAAATAAGATAACATTTTCCAAATGGTTTCTGCTAAAGAAAAATATGTTAAAAACATCAAGTCTCTTGCTTGTCTCTCCCTGGACCCTCAGACTTCTTGAATGTGGTTATTGGCAGTTTCATTATTCCCATTTCCCAGATTGAAAGCCCTTCCACAGAAACAGAAGGTGGCTCTCTGCAGAGCCAGCGGCAGGTTCACGTTGAGACGGAAGCCAATAGGAGGAGGCTTGGCTCTTCTCCATCAGAACCACTGCTGTCATTGAACGTTGACAGGATATGGATTCTTTTGGTTGTTAGGTTATTAAACTGTCTATATCCTGTCATTCATTTTTCTCTAAGAATGCCTTTTTATTTTCTCGTTTGTATAGGGAGCTGTGGTCACGGTGGTGTATTGAACATCAGCAAACCATCTATAGTTCAGCTCAACTGGCAAGGGTTTTCCTATAAGTTTGGTGCCTGGGGTCGGGATTATTCTCCCCAGCACCCAGACCAAGGACTGTATTGGGTGGCACCTTTAAATACAGATGCGAGAGTGTTGGAATACTACAGAATCTATAACACACTGGATGATTTGCTACTGTATAAACATGCACGACAGTCTCGGATTGCTTATGGCCAAGGCAGTGGTACAGCTGTTTACAACAACAACATGTATGTCAACTGGTACAACACCGGAAACATTGCCAGAGTTAACCTGACCACCAATACAGTTGCTGTGACTCAAAATCTCCCTGGTGCTGCTTATAATAACCGTTTTTCATACGCTAATGTTGCTTGGCAAGATATTGACATTGCTGTGGATGAGCATGGATTGTGGGTGATTTATTCAACTGAAGCCAGTACTGGTAACATGGTGATTAGCAAACTCAATGACACCACACTTCAGGTGCTAAATACTTGGTCTACCAAGCAGTATAAACCATCTGTTTCTAATGCCTTCATGGTTTGTGGGGTTCTATATGCCACCCGTACTCTGAACACCAGAGCCGAAGAGATTTTTTACTACTATGACACAAACACAGAAAAAGAGGGCCAGCTTCAGATTCCAATGCATAAGGTACAGGAAAGAGTGCAGAGCATTAACTATCACCCTTTTGAGCAAAAACTTTTCGTTTATAATGATGGTTACCTCCTGACTTATGATCTTATTTTCTTACAAGAACCCCAGAAAACTGTTTAGGTGTTAGAGTGAAGGAGATCAAAATATTTGTTAAAAGTAGTCTTTACCTAGTTAGCTATTTGCAGGGAGATCTAGAAATGTGATTGGTTAGTGGTAATTGGGTGCATGGTTCTGCAATACTAGGGACCTATGACGTTTGCTCTGACTTGGTGAGTTCTTTTGGGAGCATCTGTCTATTGGGATCTATTTTCCAGCTAAAATAAGGTTTTTCCAGGATGGAATCTCAGAGTTTTAGGGAGCATTATGGGTTCAGTGAAGCCTATGGTGCAGTGACGTTTGAGAAAGAAGCAACACAAAGAGCACTTAGTAAGGTTCTGGGGTCCTCTGTGCAGGAGGGAGTGCTCAAGGGCTGCTCTTCATCTAGACAGCCCCAGTAATTCTTCCAAGCCAGAAAGGACCCTGGGGCTTAATAAGGCAGACTAATTTCAAAGCTCCCTGAAGGACCAAATTTCTAACTTTTTTTTTTTCCAGTAGCACGTAGAATGATGCTTTGTATTTAGAACGTAGGTAAATCTGTGAAGTGCTCTGAGTTTTCTGGAGAAAGGGCTTTTGATGCACTAAATTGTGTATCGCACATAAATCCCAGAAGGATCTGCAGATGAGGAACTTAACTTTCCTTTCTCATTGTGTACCAGCATAAGAGTCAGTAGAACCCTCTACCTCATCACTTCATTCCAAAGGCAGCTCAGAAGGTTAGAATCAGAATTGCCAACCAATTTCCCCCACCTCCTCTCTACTGTTTGTTATAAAAATTTCACCATTTTTCTACAGAAAAATATAAGAAAGCTTTCTTTTGTCTCATCATGTACTTCTATTTAGAGGGCTCTAACAACTGAAAGAAAACCAAATGGCAGTGATAAAATGTTAGCATCTGTGATTATATAATAAAGACCCTGGAGCATATGTGACACTTGCATTAAGTCACATCAGTTGTTTCATGTAATTTTTGTCTTTCTTTAAGTCTGGAACTTGTGAGAAAATGAAATTTTAATTTTATTTTGTATGGAAGAGATGTTGGAAAGCTGTTGAAACTCTCTAGTAAATTGGTGCAGGTTGAAACCCTTGCAGGTCTCTGTGTCAAAAGATGGCTTTATCATCTGATCTTGGTCTGTTTTACATTGATGCTCAAGTGCTAGTCTATAGGATTGGTTTCTTATATGCTATACTGTCCCCCTTTTAATAAATGATTAAAATTAAAAGTTGTCTGTTGTTGTTATTTACTTTTTAAATAAAAAATTCTAATGCTATAACTAGTACTCAAACAGTATTTTTCACTTTGTGTTTCTGTGTGAGTGCAAACTGTTGAAAGCTTTACTTAATATATGCTAAATTGATCTTCTGTATATAAAGATAATCGAAAATGAATCTTGATGTGAATGGAAGGGGAGAGGGAGTGGGAGAGGGGAGGGTTGCATGTGGGAGGGAAGTTATGGGGGGAGGAAGCCATTGTAATCCATAAGCTGTACTTTGGAAATTTATATTCATTTAATAAAAGTTAAAAAAATTTTAAAAAAAGAAAAATAATAAATAAATAAATAAATAAATAATCCAACATCTTAAGATAGTCCACTTCCTGCTGTGAGGTACATAGAATGGCTACCTCCCAAACATGAGTGGTCACCTAAGGGCAGATCATATCAGTAACTTTTATATAAGGATTCAAAATCAGGCTGGCTCTTTGGTTTTCATTTCCCTTTAAAATCTGTTCTTTCTGGAAGCTTTTTATTGTACAGGATTGCCCTCTTATCTTTTGGGATATGACCTTATGTTCTTATTAATTTGCATGAATGATCTGATTATTTCCAATGCTAGACTATATTTGTGTGGTTATGTTCCTTTTCCAAGTGAACCATTAGCATGGGTCAGAAGCCTCCAGATCCTTCCCACACAGAGTGTCTTGGACAGAAAGCAAAGGACTAACTGGCCTTATCCAGAAGAAAGTACCTCTACCCACGAGAATGTGCAGGGGACAATTGATACTAGAGCTGGAAGGACAGATGGACTCTGCTAATATATTCGTCTTACTGAAATGCTCACCTTTTTACCCATGCCAAGCTTTGTAAGGCAGATGGCAGCTAAACTATCTAGTATTTTTGACAATGTTTTCCCCTATCTTTTTCAGAGCTGAACATAGAGACAGGTATGGCCTTCAAAATGCAATGAGATATAAAAGATAAAGACACGTATGTCATGTGAGGTGTAGGTTAAAAACAGTGATGTTATATTTAATCTGGCTGAAGGCAATTTTCCAGATGAATGTTTCTACCAAGTACACAGTATGACCTCTGAAGATTCGGAGAGGAGGCAGGAAGCCGAGGTAACTCTCACAATCAACTTCTTGTTTGAACGGCTACAGAGGCGTTAGTCTGCAAATTCATTTCCGAACCTCCTTCCCACTGCACGTGGAGTACGAGCCTGCACTGATTGCCTGCAGGAAGCCTCCCTGCTGGAAAAATTGAGTGACTGAGGGATTTAGGCTCAAAGGTTTACTGCAATGCATTTAACACAGTGGAAGTTGTGCGTGTGTGTGCATGTGTGTGTGTGTGTATTTAAATAAGCTTTATTCAAGTACAATTCATATGTGATAACATTTGCCAGTTCAATGAGTTTTTAGAAGTGAGTAGTCATATAAAGACTACCACAATTAGGAAATAAAACATTTCCATTAACCCCCCCCCAAAAAAAAATTTAGTTCTATTGTACCCTTTTGTTGTCAGCTCCTGACATGCTGACCTGTTTTCCAAAACTGTAGTTTTGCTTTCTCTAGAACGACCTGGCCATGAAAACATACTCTGGGTAGCCTTTTGAATCTGACTTCTTCTAAAGTAAAACTAGTGAAGCTTGTGACTATATAAAGAAAATTGAAGGTACATCATTGTAAAAATTACAAGAAAGGGGGAAGGTGGGAGTGAGAGAAGGAGGGGAGTAGGAAGCTTCATTATGCTCTTTCTTTTTTAAGATTTATTTTTTATTTATCTGAAAGGTGGAGATACAGAGAGAGGAGGAGAGGGAGAGGGAGAGGGGGAGAGAGAGAGAGAGATATCTTTCATCTGCTGGTTCACTCCCCAAGTGGCTGCAATGGCTGGAGCTGGGCTGGGCTTAACCAGGAGCCCAGAGCCTGAAGCTTCTTCTGGGTCTCCCATGTGGATTCAGGAGCCCAAGAACTTGGACCATCTTCCACTGCTTTCCCAGGCACATTGGAAAGAAGCTGGACTGGAAGTGGAGCAGCCAGGTCTCAAATCAGTGCCCATAAGGGATGCTGACATCGCAGGCAGAGGCTTAACCTACTACATCACAATGCCAGCCCCTCATTATGCTTTTATAACAATGTATAGGAAATACATGGAGTTTGTTCCCTTTTTATAAATAAAAACATTTTAAAAAAGAAAGAAAAAATAAAACTAGTGAGTTCAAATTACACCAGAATAAGGTAGGTAACTGGGTTTATCAGTGACTCTTGGGGTTCTCTGCATTGTAAAATTATTTTTCTTATGTCTGAATAGGAAATTGTGGAGAGCTGTGGTGATGGTGATCCACTGCCCTTCTAAGTGTTCCTTAGTGGCCGGAAGTTGCCACAAAGTAGAGAGACCCAACTCTGGGCATCAATCAGTCTTTTCTGGTAGCATGCCCAAAGCTGAAAAGTTTCCTTACTACCAGCCTTGTTCACGGTTAATTCTTCAGTCTCTACCCCTATGCCTCGACCATCTATACCCAGGTGAGTTCTGACATTTACCAGTGAAGAATCAAGTAGTTAAAAGCAAAGGATGCAGAGTCATGCAAATGAGATTTGACTCTTAGTTCTTCTTACAAGGGTATGTATCCTTAACTTCTTGGAAACAGTGTTTTGTTTTTTCAACAAGAAGGGATTTGGATAATGCCACCTACTTCACAATCCTGTTGGGTGTAATAAATGATATTATGTATATCAAGTGTTTAGTAAAGTCTTTGGCACATGCATTGCCCTAATGAAGAGTTATTATCCCTGTTTCCCATGTCAAATTTCATCTGCAGAATGGTCATTATGTTGATAAGATATAAAGCTAATTGGAGTTTACATTTCTCCTCTATAATCGTTGTTGCTATCAGTGACTCTTTGAAGCAGATGCCATTTTGGCCTGAAAGAGTTATGCAGGTTGGGACATCTCTTTGTCTTCAACTCCAAGATTGATCCTGAGCACTAATGTCTGCTATGTGTTGGCTGCAAAAGAGAGAACAATGTGAGCAGTAGAAACTGACCCTGTTTCCCCTCTCTTTGGGGGCACTGACACCTAGATGAAGGCTGGCTTTCATCAAGCCCTGTGGATAAGACTAAAATAGATGCATACAATTTCCTACTTGTTTTGCCATAGTCAAGAAGAATGTCAGTTTTTCAGAACAGAGATAGGTCCTTATTTTGTACTCTACTTTTAGTAAAATAACCTTTAGAAAAAGGTCATTTTGTACTCCCTTTTAGTAACACAAGCCTTTAAGAGTTTGTTTACATCCCTAACCTTGAGAGTATGTTTTTCTTCTCTCTTGTTTCATGAACCACTGAATGGGACAGCTTGTCAAAGGAGGGATAGAAGGTGACTGTGTGGCCACCTTCAGGATGGCATAGAGAGGTTCTGAGCCCAGGCCTTCTGTCATTTCAAACAGATGTCATGTCATGAAGGGTGATTAGCCTCCTGTGCTCCAGAATGTTCTGGAACAACAAAAGAGTGAATTGTGACACATCAGAAAATAAAAGGCAGACACATTTCTAAGGCACACTCCCAACCAGTGGAACAGACCAGCTGGCATTGCTCATGGATGAGAGATGCTGTTTGAGTTTCAGTTCAGCTGCCAGGCCCCACATCTGTAACTGGCTTGTGCCCACTCGTCTCTGAGATCCGCATCTGTTCCTGGATTTCATCAGGGGGAACAATCAGAGAATCAAGGTTCATAGTGGAGAAAGAGGCCCATCATCTCTCCAAGGGGGAGCAGCTTCTTGGGTGCCACCCCTGGACTCCTGGGAGCCAGGAGTTCCACTGTGAAGACAGTTTCTCAGACCTCAGCCCCTCAAGGACTACCAAAGACGGACCTAAGGTGTGTTTGAGGACTTCTGTGTGATTTGGGTAGAACTCAGTGCAAATGGAAGGTGACAGAGTGTTAGGATGGAATGATGCACAGAGCCAGGGTTTCTGTGCCATCAAAGGGCTTTGATTCCCGCGCCTCCACCCAGGACATTTACAGTGACTCCAAATCAAATCTCTTTTTGCAGCTGTATTGAGGTATAATTGATAAAAATGGTAAACATTCAAGGTATAAAACACGATGCATTGCCACATATATACACTGTGAAATGATTGTCACAATTAAGCTAATTAACTAATTAACTGGCACATTGTCTGACATAGCTACCAAATCTCCTCTCTTCTCACTTGGATTCTACCAACCGATGTGTTCTTTTTGGTTGGGATCAATCATGCTGTACATCAGCGTGACTGGTGACTTACTCTGGTTTTCACCTGCTGCCTGCTGTAAGTCAGAGTTCAGTGTAAGAGCAGAGATAGCTTCTTTTTACTGGGGTGCTGCTACCTGCTGTAGCAGGCAAAGATCGCTGTTAAGTGGTTGAGCACAACAGCAGGCTTTCACAATTCTGTCCTTGTCATTGTTTCTTTTTAACCCCTTTCCCATTTCCAGCATCCTCTTTTTTTTTTTTTTTTTTTTTTTTTTTCCCATCTCACACTCTAGTTGTGATTTTTTTTCTCCACCATGATGGAGGAGAACTTCAGGAACAGCAATTCAGGAACAGCTTCTAGAGTAGTGGTTCAGGAATCCAGGCTGCTTCCATCTTGTGTCTCCACCATGTCCACATACAGCTTCCCAGCTCACTGTACTCCTTTCTAGCAAAGCAACTGTAAGGAGGAGAGAACATGAAGGAAATTAGGTTGCTGGTTGATGAGCATCAGTCTGAGAGTGGTGTACAACATTCCTGCTCACAATCCATTAGCACAGGGCCATGCCTAGCTGCAAGGGAGGCCTGAAACATGGTCTAGCGGGTATGCAGGGGAAGAGAAAATGGCCAGTCCATCTCACTACTCTAGGTATTACAAGAAGAGTATTGAAGACAGAGTTAGGTGCTTAATCATCAGAAAGGCTAGAAGTGCAGCAAGCAGAGGCCACTGGTGAATGCTTGACTTTGAAGCCACACCATCACCTACAGTCCAGAAACTGAGGA